TTCCCCTACAGGTCCCAGTCCATCTCCAAGAGAGGAATTCAGTAGACAGTATCAGAAATCAAGACTTTCAGGCTCAGTGAGGTTATATAACTTGCCCAAGGTCACACAGCTCGTAGAGGACACCAATATTCAAACCCAGGTCTGACCTCAAAGCCAAGGCTCCTTCTGATACTGCATGGTTCTAGAACAGTCCAACCCTCACATGCCAGTGTGGGAAAGCGGGCTTACAGATGGCCTTCTGAAAGGATGGAGGAGATCTCCTATCTCTGCTTTCCTTTCCCATGCTTTGATACACTTGACAAATGACTGCAAAACGATCTGAGATGTACATTATAAAATGAGCATAATGTGAAAAGTGAAAGTCAGTCAGTCATGTCTGACTCTTTGTGACCCCATGGACTGTACAGTCCACGTAATTCTTTAGGCCAGAATACTGGAGTGGGTTGCCATGCCCTCCTCCATGAGATCTTCCCAACCCAGAGATCATACCCAGGTCTCCCACATTGCAGGCAGATTCTTTACCGTCTGAGCCACCAGGAAACCCATAAAATGATCATCAGCACTAAATTACGCACAACTATTTTAAAAAAAATCAGAAGTGGACTATTTATTTTCCAACAAGCAAGCATAAAAATGGAAGGGGAAGACATGCCTGATCAAAATCAAGACCCATTTTGATTGCCATTCTTTCAAAGATATATCTCTAGTCAATTTTGTTTCAGAAGCAGACAGCTCTCTGTCACCACTGGACTCTCTGAACTGATCTCCCTGAACCCCTAGAACAGGAAGAGGCCATGGCATGAAGCTGCATGTCTGGAGTAAAAGAACAGACGAGAGAAGGGAGAAGACGCACGTCTCTCAACTGATAATAGCATAATTAATAGCTCCTCCAAACCACTCTTATGAGCTTTGTAAGCACCTTATTTGGAGATCATGCTGGCTATAATTTTCTCAAATAGCTCCTTTATTTACACTGCACTAATGAGAAAAGCAAAAAAAAAATTTAGACTTCTTTTGTAGTTTTAGTAAGAGCTCTAAATTGCATTTCATAATAAAATGTCTATTTATAGACTGCAGATGTCCTTGTAGATAATAATATATAATAATTATTCCCAGGAGGTTAAAAAAAAAATCAGGATAAAAGATACCTAATCATTGAAAGAAAAAGTACACAAATAAGCAGCTACAAGGTCTGTGGCTCAGTTTCTCATGCAACATTTCTTTTCTGCTTAAAAAAAAAAAAGGTAGAACACAGTAAGCAACATTAGTAAAAAAGAAACCATAAATTATGCCATGCAATCTTCTTTCTATCCTGAACTATGTCAGAACAAACAAAACACTTAAGACTAAATTCTAATAATTCAAACCCTCCTCAGCAATTCACATATTGTACTATTTTCTTTTCACTCCTTCCTGGTGACTTCCCTGAAAACCACTTCCATTGCTCAGCCAAACCAATGCTTTCTCTGGCCTGAACAATTTCCCAGTCTTCACTCAGGCAAGTTCCTAGTCCAGTCTTCAGAGCAATCTTATAAACACAGGCATTCGATCATGCCCCTCCTCTGCACAAAATGCCCCGAGGCTTTGGACTGATGGATGGTGCTCAGAGTGAACCCCCATGTGGATCAGGGGCCTGCAAGCCACCCCCAGCCCGCACCTCTCTTCTACCCTCTGCTCCAGCCCTCCGGCCCGCCTTCTTCCCAGTCCTCCAACAATCAGGCTCATTTCTTCGTACTCTGCCCTTTGCTGGACTCATTCCTCCTCCTCCCGGTCTCCGTGTCACTTCCTCAGAGTGGCTGCCCTTGACCACCCCGTCTGATTAGCATCCTCACTCTCCACCCCTCATCATGCTTTCTTTTCTTGACAGCACTTACTGATATTTGCATGACTGCCATTTATCTTCCCTATGAGACTTAAGTCCTGTGCTGGGAGAACACTGTTTACCATCTGCTTTCACACTATATCCTGGGGGCTAGAAGTTCCTGGTAGAGGGTGGGCCCTCAAACTCTGTGGAATAAATGAGTTCCAGCTCACAGTGGTTTTTCTCTTCTCTGAGTGCATATAAAACTGGTCCTTTTCACAGTAACCTAAGGTTGCCTTGTATTGCTCTCTAGTTGTGGTACACAGATTTAGCAAAGCATTTTCTATTTACTTTGCATCTGGGAATGACAGGGCCTAGCATATTTCAACAACATAAATCATGCTTAAAACTTGCTCATTTGGCTCAACTTTGAATCTTTTGCTGTCTCTTGAAAAAAGGATAAAATTGCTTGTACAGCACAAGATTGGTTTTTATTTCAACAAACATTGTCTCAGAATGATATGACAGGACTTAAGAAAAAAAAAAAAGGCTGATGAGAAAAGAAAGAAAATATATCAAGAGCCATGTCTTAGTTTGATAAATTTAAACATTTGTTTTAAGACAATAATTTCTACTAATTTCAACTACTCTCAAGTAGTTGTATTCTGGCTCTTTGCTACAAGAGCAGACTAAAGAGTAAAATTAAAATTCAACATGGATTTTTTAAAACCTTGTTTACATTATCATTAACTCACTACCACCACTAGCAAATATCCAATAGAGTCAAACAAAACATAACGTAATAGAGTCTCTGCTGTACTGAAAAAATCTCAACAAGAAGTTATGGCTTCATATATCATAAGAAGGTTCCAAGGGACCTGAATTAATTCATTGAATAAATAATACCAGAGCCAGGATAAGACAATGTGCTAGACCCTGCTCTGCACCTTTTAGGCCCTATTCAAAATGCTTATGTCATAGAAATTACAGTTAAAAACTGTAAAAGTGGTCATATCGTAACAAATATTTGACTAGGCGAGTGACCTAGCCAATTAAGTCATTTTGAAAGTGCGATAATGCCACTCTGCCTAACAATTACAGAAATTAAAATGCTCCAGGAAGTTTGGCAACTTACTCTGAGGGTGAAAAGTCTTTCAAAAACTAAATTGCAGCCTATAATCACCTTCAGATTACATAATATCTCCCTGAGACACAGTAAGCTACTTGTTCCATGGTACAAGTTTTTCTGGTGTCAATAAAAAATTTTTAACCATTTTATTATTCCAACCAAGATCATGCTATTTCTTTCACTATTAATAGTATTAGCACTTTAAAAGTTTTCAATTTATACACTGGAACATGGGTTAACCTGCCCTTCTGCACTTTTACCACCACTGGCAGACATGCTCTGCCTCTGTGAACAGGTCGTATGGACCTTAAGCGTTATTACAACCCAACCAAACAGCCTAAGCATAATGCAAAAGTAAGAGTTACAGACCCTTTAATTTCTGGGTCTAAGGGTCAGTCCAACCCAAACTGTTTGCCAGTGTTGGTGATCTGACGTCCAGCAACAGAGTAAGTTTGTAGGATGCCAGGTTCCATGCCTATCACAACTACAGCAACTGCCAGGAGCCAGAATGAGCAGGATGCTGCTGCCATCCTTAAAATACCTGGTTCTGTAGAAAACTCTCAGCAGACAAAGGCTTGTGGGTTTCACTAGGGGTAGGGCTTCTGGGACTCACAGGTCATGTTCTTTGGCAGCAGGTTAAATGTTTCTTTCAGTAAAAGCATAGTTTAGGCAATAAGCTCAAATTGGTAACAAAGACTGTGTCAGGTGTTAAGCAGTTACAAAGATCAGCCCATCTGAAATTGTGCTCTGTCTTTACTGCAAACACAGTCCAAAAGTAAGTAAGTGGCCTCATGCAGCCTCTACCACCCCTGCCACTTTTCTAGCCCATATTTTGTTAGAATTTGTTCCTGTCACTCAAGCAGCTACAATCTAAATTGTAAGACATGGGGGCCAACAGAAGTCATAAGATTTAAAAAAAAAAAAAATCCAATGCTTATTTGTAGTTACCAACACTCATATTATTTACAGTTCCGAAATGCTACATTAGTCATTTTCAGATACATTGCTCTAGGATTTTGAATAGGAGAAAAAGTCTACATAAACATACAACAAATATCTCATTTCTTCCTGTCACTCTTATGTCTTGCAGAGCAGGAGAAGGGCAATGTTTCCATTTGCCTCAGCTCCTGTCCTAGCAGGTTTTACAAGGTTGAAACACATGCAACTGTGGTAGGCCAACACCAGTTCTGGCTGCATCCTTTAATCTTTCATGAGATTTCACCTCATTCTAAGACTGTGAAGAGATCTTCAATACCGAAGAACAAACTTTAAACAGCTAATTCTAGTAGCTCTTTTATATGATGAAATTTAATAGGATTTGGGCTGAGTTCCTTTGTCAGTTCTTAATCGACATCTGTAAAACGCACTTTGATTTATAAACAAAGTGAATGATACAGGCCAGATTTTCTGGATTTCAAGTACCTGCACAAGACAATGAACTTGCTCTTAAATCAATCCATATGTGCATGATGGCACAAAATGGTGTTTCTGGTCTGGAGACAATTCCCTAACACACAAGCCACTGAACCAATAATGAAATCATACTTCACAGGCAGAGACATCTGAATGAAAATATTTTGGAGACGTCAAAGGACACGAAGCCATATTGAAAGTGGGAAAGAAGAGACTTCAATACAGTGCTTGTAAAGCTGAAGGAAAGGGCAGGTTGATGAAGACCACTAGACAAAACGGGGGGGGGGGGGCGGGGGGCATGGGTTTCCAGAAAGGCCTCAGTTGGCGAAGTTCTATCCAAACGAACTACTTATTGTACCTAAAGGCCAAACAACACCATGAGGTTTCCAGAAAGTCTAGATCTTCTACAACTGTGTGGTCTGCAAGCAAGTCTGATCTGAATTAAAAAAAAAAAAAAAGGCACCTAAAAGCCACAAAGCAGAGTATCACCTGCTCCAAAGCAAGTAACCAGGGTGCAAATGGACCTCTGAACCCTGGAAAGTCTGCGCAGGGGGCTTTTCGGGCGTCCGGAGGTCAACTAGCCTATCCAGGTGGACTGCGACTGGCGCAACTGCGTCTTCCTCTCCCCCTTGCCGCCGCCCCGCCGTCCCCACTCACTGTTGCTGGACTTGAGGTCCCGGTGAAGGATGGGCACCACCGCCTCCTCGTGCAGGTAGAGCATGCCCCGCGCGATCTGCACGGCCCAGTTGACCAGCACGTGCGGGGGGATGCGGCGCGCGCGGCGCGGGGAGGGCGAGCGGGGGTCCGGGGTCGCACTGGCGGCGGCCAGCGCGCGGTTGAGCGCTCCGCCGCGGGCAAACTCGAGCACCAGGCAGAGGTGTGGCTGCCGCAGGCACACGCCGCGCAGCTCGATGATGTTGGGGTGCCGCAGCATGGAGAAGAGCCGGGCCTCCCGCCGAACGCTCTCGGCCGCCGCCGCCGCGTCCAGCTCCGGGTCGCAGCGCGCCGCCTTCACCGCCACCTCCTGGCCCTGCCAGGTGGCGCGGTACACCTGCCCGAAACCGCCGGCGCCGATGAGCTCCTTGAGTTCCAGCCGCTCGAAGTCGACGTGCACGGGCGAGCCGGGCCGCGGCGGCGGCGGTCTGGCGGGCGGCGGCGCGGGGTGGGCGGCCGAGCGGCACGGCGCCACGTAGTTGGCGGGGAAGATGCCAAGGCGCCGCTGCACCTGGCCGGCCCACCAGCCCTCGTCGCCCGACACGGCGGCGTCCTGGGACAGCACCTCCACCAGCTGGCCGCGGCGCAGGCTCAGCTCGTCCTCGCCGCGCGCCTCGTAGTCGTAGAGCGCGGCCCAGAGCCCAGCTCCTGCCGAGGCCGAGCCGCCGGAGGAGGCGGACGAAGACGACGCGGAGCCGGTGGGGGCGCCCCGGGCCGGGGATCCCGGCCGGTCAGCCGCGCCCTCGGCGCCGGGCCAGGCCATGGTGGGTGGTGGCGAGGGGCGAGACCGGGCGGCGGACTCAGCCTCCCGGGCGGCCTGGGGCGCGCATCGTCCAGCGGGGTCACCGCCGGCGCCCAGATAGGCAGGGAACGGGAGTCTGGGCTCAAGGACGGCTGAGGGTTCACTGGCCCACTACCCGGAGGCCCCGGCTTCAGCCCCCGTTCCTCCTCTTCTGTCTCTGCTGCTGCGGCGGTCCCCGCGGCCGCCGGCCCTGCCGCTCCATGGTAGCGCGCTGGGCCTGCGGCCGGCCTGCGGCACATTCAGCCTAGCAGCCGCCTGAGCCCACCCACTCCCGGCCCGTCCCTCCCTTCCCTGGTCCGTCCCGCCCCCTCCCGGCCCGTCCCGCCCCCAAAGCCTTCATGGTACTCAGGGCCTGCCCGGCCCTCCGGGTCCGCGGCCGTCTGGGCCCGCCCCCTCCGGGCCTGTTTCCCTCTCCGACCAGGGCCCACCCCGCCTCCAGGAGCCGCCGTCTCCTGGGCCCGCCCCCTCGGGGCCTGTCCCGCCCCCCACCGGGGTCGGTCGCGCATCCAAGGGCCGCCCTACCTCCAGGGCCCGCCCGACCTTACGGGGCCCGCCCCTCACCCTGTGTCCGCCCCGCCCCCAGGGCCTGCACCACCGCCAGGGCCTGCTCCGCCCCCAGGGCCCGCCTTCTCCTGGGCCCGCCCTCTCCAGGCCTGCCCCCCTCCCACCAGGGCCTGCGGCGCATCCAGGGGCCGCCCTAACTCCGGGGCCGGCCCCACCACACCTGGGCCGGCCCCACCCATTTGGGTTCCACCGCCCCCGAGGCTCGCGCTCCACCTCTTTGGGTGCGCCTCACCCTTGAGTCCGGGGAGGCGGAGCCAGCCCCGGGCTGCGAGAGGTTTTCGAGAAAGTTTAAATGAAGCCCAAGGTCAGGCTGGGAGACTCTATACTGTTCTCCACTGTTGTCTGGAACGCGGTGGCAGCAGGTGAAGATCTGGTGCCTTAAGCCGAACAGAGATTGGGCTGAGAGTCGTGGTGCGTCCTGGGACAGGTCCGAACAAATGGAGCGAGGCTGCAGACCGGCTCCCTGGGCGTGCAGCCCAGAACTGACGGGGTGACGAGAACCGGTGTGCAGGACCCGGCAGCGCGTCCTTGGTGACAGATAATCCCGCGTTCGTCTGTACTGTGGCACTCCAACGGGAGAGGACCTGTGAACCCACAGGTTCGGGTGTAGGAGGCGTTGGCAACCACTGGATGCTAGAGCCCCTGAACTTACATATTGCCCAGGGAAGGCGAATAAAGCAAGAGAATCTGTGCACAGAAAGCTAAGTCCTCGACGATGTGCTGGCTGCTCGTTTACCGGAGTACATAAATGTCCTGGGAAGCAGGGCCTTCACACGCTTCCATTTACTCCGCGTAGTGAATGATCGCCTTCCAACAGCATCGGAAGGGGAAGCTTTTACGTTTGGGAACAAGGACCGTTTTAGGTCTAGAGATAGGAACTTTGGGGTTTTCTTGTGAAAACGTAGTTTCTTCTTTGGAATTTTTTCATTCATTAATTTAGAAAACCTTGCATCTTTGAGGATTTACCCGTGATGAGGGTGGAAGCTGCTGCTGCTGCTGCTAAGTCGCTTCAGTCGTGTCCGACTCTGTGCGACGCTACAGACGGCAGCCCAGCAGGCTCCCCCGTCCCTGGGATTCTCCAGGCAAGAACACTGGAGTGGGCTGTCATTTCCTTCTCCAATGCATGAAAGTGAAAAGGGAAAGTGAAGTCGCTCAGTCGTATCCGACTCTTCGCGACCCCATGGACTGCAGCCTACCAGGCTCCACCGTCCATGCAATTTTCCAGGCGAGAGTACTGGAGTGGGGTGCCATTGCCTTCTCCGAGGGTGGAAGGGAACACCATAATTAGTCCTCCTGAAGCGGACCACCGCTGAGATGCAGTCAGCCTCTCTTCCTCTGCGGTGGAAGGGGAAAGCAACGCCCAGCGCAGGGCCTTCCCCTCTCCACCCTGTTAGTCCTCCATGCTACCCTTATTTACAGTTTCTACCATGATTATCCACAGAACAAACCCGTGGGTCTCTTCTCTGTGTTGATGGAGATGGTGGACAAAACCCTCCAGGTGTGACTACATCTAATTTAATTATACTTAGGGAGTGCTTACTCTGTGTAAGAGACTAGGCTAAGGATTGGAGATTACAAGTCTTCAGTCCTAGAAGCGCCAGGACAGAAGAATAAGCCAAGTGTCCTGGGCTCAAGTCGAAGGAGCAATCCATTATGCCTGGGGTCACTGGGGGGATGCTTTGCCGAGTGCCATTTGAGTTAAGTATGTCTAGGATTCGTAGACAAATGGTGTGTGAGTCCAAATAAACAGTGGGCTCAGGAAACTGTGAGAGGCTGAACGTTTCCTGTGGCAGATGAGTGAGTCTAGAAAGGTAGTGCCTGTCGTCCTAAGTCGCTGCAGTCATGTCTGACTCTTCACAACCCTATGGACTACAGCCGGCCAGGCTCCTCTGTCCATGCGGTTTTCAAGGCAACAATACTGGACTGGGTTGCCATGCCTTCCTCTAGAGGATCTTCCCAACCCAGGGATCAAACCCTCATCTCCCGCGTCTCCTGCCTTGGCAGGAGCTGCCTGGGAAGCCACCTGGGAATCAGGGCTAAAATCCCAGGATGCCTGATCACCTTCATGGAGAGATGAAGTGAAGTGAAAATCACTCAGCTGTGTCCAACTCTTTGTGACCCCATGGACTATATATACAGTCCATGAAATTCTCCAGGCCAGAATACTGGAGTGGGTAGCCTTTCCCTTCTCCAGGGGATCTTCCCAACTCAGGGATTGAACCCAGGTCTCCCGCATTGCTGGTGGATTCTTTACCAGCTGAGCCTCCAGTGAAGCCCTCATGGAGAGAGAGTGTAACAGATGAGAGAACTTTCAACGTTGGTGGAGTAAACAAGAGGATGGGGAAGATAGGATTGTAAGAGGATGAAGAAGAAAACATAAGGAAGAAAGAATAAGGATTCTGGTGTCTGTGGGCCATTGAGATGACTTACTGACAGGAAAGAATATTTTCTGGAGAAAAGTTGAGAAAGGAAATCAGGTTAGAAAGGGCTTAAAAAATGAGCTGAGGTGTCTTGACGTAAGGAGATGAGAAACCCTCTAGAGAGAGATGAGGGAAAATATTCCCTCAAGAACTGTGTAAGTTGTTTAAGACATGAAACAATCTTTTGGATAAAAAAATGTTTCTTAGAAGTTTTAGTTACTTTTATTGGATCTTCTTCTAGACATAAAACAGAATACTAGAAAGTTTAACAGTTTGATGGAATTGCTCAAACTTTTTAAGACAAAAAGCATTTTGATTGATGGCTTGGAACTTTGGAAATGCCAGCTGTCATTCATTATTTACCTTGGATTACACTTGGAAAATGGTGTGTGTGTGTGAAATGTTTTACTAATGTGGTATAATTTGGTATAACAGCAAGAGTCTGTCAACAGTCCTGGGTTCCAGTCTTGACTGTGTCATCTCTTATTACATGATCGAATGTTCTTCCATGGTCTATGCAAAATTGTAGAACGATAGCATCTGCCCCATGGTGGTGTTTTGAAGATTCATTTAACTAGTATATTGAAGTATAACAGTTAGTGCTAATAAATGTTAGCTCTTATTATTTTAATATTAATTACTATTCACAAAGGAGATATCAGAATAGAAAATTCAACAGAAAACATATTTATCCTTTTTTTAGCTTCCATTTGATATATTTTCCTATGCCAAAGATCAATGTCATCTGCTAAGAAAAATTCAAAAATATTCACAAGGTGGTTAGAATTAAAAGTTAGCATGGTAATTTCCAAGGCTTTGGAGCATATAACATCACAAAATATAATGTTTTTTGAGTCAGCCAAATGATACATATGTGCAACTAAGTTTTATTACTACTATCACTTATTATCAACTTTTATTGTGTTGCTACTAGTATTCTTGCTATCGTTCATCATGAACCATGCCACAATAAAGTCAAATAATAATAGAGATGTAATCGTGATAGGACAGAATATATAGAATAACTAGGTTCATCATTCAACATCTCTTTTTTTGAGTGTCAGGCAGCAATCTAGGTGAACGACACAAAGAAAGTTCTTTTTTATCATGGAGCACATATATATATAGTAAATTTATTTGGTTGCACCAGATCTTAGTTGTGGCATACAAACTGTTCATTGCTGCGGGTGGATTCTAGTTCTCTAGCCAGGGATTTGAACCTGGGCCCCCTGCATTGGCAGTTCAGGGTCTTAGCCAGTGAACCTGCAGGGAAGTCTCATGGAGTTTATATTTTAAAAGCAGTAGATAGAAAATAGAATAAGTAAGCAAATTACACTGTATATTAGAATTTGATAAATATTATATAAAAAGAAAAAGGAAAGCAAGAAAAGATGGCTCAGAAATTGGGGGTGGGGGGAAGGTGGAGTGAGCTGGGGCATTTTGTGGCGGTCAACAGTGTGGACAAGGTGGCCTCGTTGAGAAGGGGAGATTTGAGCTGAGACTTAAAGGGGAGAAAGGAATGGGTCAAGTAATTATCTGGTGAAAGATCAAGTGAGCAGATACCACAAGGAGTTCACAGTGTGCGTGGACTTCCCCATTGTGGAAAAGGCCCAGCTCGTGACCTCAGGGTGTTTTTATTTTTTAAGACTACTTTTTGAAAATTGAAATATAGTTGATTTACAATTGTGTTAATTTCTGCTATACAGCAAAGTGACTCAGTTATACATATATGTGTATATATGTATATATATACATACACACACATACATATATATACATTGTTTTTCATTATGGTTTATCACAGGATATTAAATATAGTTCCCTTGTTGTTTAACCATTCTGTATGTTGAGACTGTAAATGAGCCTTTCCTGAATCTAATACTCTAGCTTCCTTTTCATAAGTTTAAAGATGCGGGGTTAAATGAACAATAATAACAATGATGATGGATCAGTAGTAATAAGTTAATGCTTATGTCA